TATAAATGACACCCCCACCAACACTGGCAGGGCATGCCACTGTATATAAACAGAGAGCAAACCCCATTCCATTTTAGCACTGTCCTTTTTATTGTCTCTTTTGAATAGCGTGTAGATGTTATTTATCTCTATGTGCCTGTTGATGGCTGCCTTGTCTGAATACCAAGCTTCCAGGAATTCCCTCACATTTTTGGATTTAGCTTGGTCTAAGATGCTGACTTATAAATGACACCCCCACCAACACTGGCAGGGCATGCCACTGTATATAAACAGAGAGCAAACCCCATTCCATTTTAGCACTGAAGATGTTACCTAACTGGGTAACGAAACGTTTGCAAGAAAACAGCCAAGGTCAGAGAACCCCAAGGACTCCACAGTTCAACCCTGAGCTACACATATTTTCTTCTGTTTTCTATTGTTCAATTCTCATGGGTAATCAATGTATTTTATTATTTGATTACTTGCTTTCTGACGTATGACATATACCGAATGTATGTATCATTTGTTTCTGTATCCTACGAAAAGGCTTGACACCCCCCCCCTTTTAATAAATGCTTTTTGCTTTGCCTGAATTACTGGGTGGTTTGTATTTTCAGGTAGGCTAAGAAGCTACCTTTGCAAAGGCAAAATGGTTTTCTCTCCCAAATTCAGAGAACAGGTCTTCAGCTCCACACCACTCAGTACGCCTGAGTTTTAAAGGCAACAATACTTATGAGAAGTATATTACAAACTTAAGAATTCTTCAGAAAAAGTTTATAGTAAATTATCTCCCTGTATGTTGCTAAGTTAGTTGTAATTTTCTTAATAAAAGAATGTTTGCAAGGTGCCATGAGAAATGCAGGTAGAATATAAATATTTCAAAATATAAATATTGAACAATAAGCCCATTCAACATTTTTTCAAAAGCATTGTAATTATATGTAACTGAACATTAACATACTGAGGGAATTTTTAATAGCCATACAATGAGTGCAAACATAATAAATTTTTGTAAAATATCATTACAAACACACAGGAGAAACTCTTATTTAAGAGTCTGTATATATGATAAGGGAATTTTCCAGAACAGAAAAACATACAAACAAAAAAGCAGATTATGTAATTATTCAGATGTCACTTAAAAGATACCTAAAGTAGAAAGCACGTAACAGATTATTAGACAAACTCAATTATATGAATGAACAATTTATACAAATGTTCTTCAACCTGATGACTTCTAAGTTAAATTTAATATATGCTAGCTGGATACTACAGAAGCTGAAGTTCAATACACCTTTACAGCAACAGTTTGGGAAACACTAACTTACACAAAGAAGAGTGATTATTTTTTCAAGCATATTGTGAAAAAAAGAGGAAATATGAAGAATATTAAGGATACAGTTCTGTGATCCTTAGTAGAAAGACATGCCAAGACCAGAATGCTCATACATCATCACTTGTAATTACAACGTTTTTCCATTCCAGCCTACTAGCTGTAACTGAAGAAACTGGAGGGATAAAAAGTAACTGACATGGAGGAGAGGCACTTCTTCAAGTGACCTGGTCCAATGAAGCTAGGTGGGTGGCCCCTAACAAAGGTTGTCTTTTGCTGCCTACAAATGTACATGTATGCAGACTACTCTTCAGCTGATACCACCAGTGAACTGAATACTCATGCACAAACACTCACTCCTTCCCTCACGTACAGAGTCAGGGATGCCTTCTAGAGGACATGGCTGCTTTAATGAAGGATACTTCACCCATTCTAATATGCTTTTCAAAGCCTTAAAGTTTGTTACTGTTAACGCTTTTTAATTGAAACAACAGCCTAGATCATGTAGAACACACTCTATTGAAGAAAAACTATTTTTAGTAACCTAGTTTTATATATGTCAAGTAGCTGCCAAATCTGCAGTTGATTTAATCACATCAATGATGTCATGACTATGTTCTCCTAGAATGAAGCACACAGGCACAGAAAATTACTGTGCTAAGAAAGTAGTTATCAGCTCCCATTTTCACTCGTCATGTAAAAACAGTATTTGACATTTCCAAAGAACCCATTCATTGTACCACCACTTTATAATATCAGCTGCTGGTCTCAAAGGTTAAAGATATTATTACAATGAATCATTGCAACAACTTTAACGTATAAATTTAAATGGCTTAGTTCCACAATGATCTATTTTTTCAGTCTATCTTCTGAAATAATTATACTTATCTGGGATGAAAGCATAAAATGTTTGTCCAGGATTAAAAAGATGGGGATAGTCCACTAGGATGTGCTGAAACTCTTATTGGAATGTATGCACAATTGCTTTACACACACAGCACCTAAAGATCTTTTAAAAACTTTAGGAAGGATTCAGACAGCTTCTGAATTCTCCACCCTCAGGTCAGCAAGGATGATAAACAATATGCAGTCACCTGCTGCAGACAGAGTAGGACTGTTTTATTTCCCATAAGCGTATGTGGTGGGGATTAGGGAGGAACTGGGAAAGATGACAGGGAACATTTTTGCCAGAATGTTCTCATATATAGTAACCCCTAATAAATGTGAAAATGTTGTAGAAATACAAAAAAAAGTTACTACAGTCCAGGCATGAATACAAAGGTTAATTCAAGTATTTAATTCCCAAAATGTGCATTATCACTGTTGTGAAGAGAAAGCCAGGATACATAATACTACAGCCTCCCTCCCAGTCTGGATGCCAGACAGAATCTGAATTTGAACAGACTTCTTGCCTCAAACATGGGCTTTAGCACATATCCTCAATGCTTCCTCTTTTAAAGAGAGAAAAAGGGTTGTTCCTTTAAAAGACCAAAGCAGAATTCTGGAGAAAGGGAGCAAGAACTTTCTGGCATCTGAGCTGGAAAAACAAGTTGGAGGTACCATCTCCCCAGCAGCTCTGTTAATAAATAGAATTATTCCAAGAAACTAGGGGAGGTCAATGGACAAAGAAGAAAAGGACTTTGATTTGGGATTTAGGTTATCTCTAAAACTCAGGTATCTGCTGTAGCTATATGTTACATTAATTGTTAATTTTTTTGTCTCTCGGTGTGTAGCCTTATTCTTATTCTGATTTTTCTGCAGATGTAGGACTTTCTGTCTGATTTCAGGCTGAGTTCAAGATTT